TCAAGTCTATATGCTGCATATAGACTTGAGAACAGAGAATTTTGAAGGAAGGAAGATCCCAAGGCTTTGAATGTTGATGTACTATTTTATATTGGCCATAGGGGTGATCTTGCTTCCCCTAAATTGCATCTGTACCCTAGTTACAATTGGCATTCTAGGAAGATTGTTCTTGAGTAGTTTTAGGAGATTTTTTTTTTTTACTGTAAACCTCTATTTGTTGCAAACTGCTATCTTCAGGCAATTTCTTGCAAAAGCGAAGGATGTTTATATCAGTGATAGGTGCAAAGAAATAGGAAGACAACCCACTGAATGATGTATATCTACATGCATTACAAGTGCACATACAGTTTGGGTAAGAAATTGTAGATTGTAGATTTATGTAGAAATATGATCTGCTGTGTGAAAATCAGTGCTGAAGAAAAAGGATATCGCAATGCAAAGCATAAGAATAAGATAGACTTGTTATTTTGCCAACCCAGTTATAAAGAACTTGTAACATGCACCTAACAAATAATCTGCGAGTGATTCATTGAATATAACAGGTCCTAGTTTGTTTTTCTATTAATATAACTTTAATGACATACTGTAGGTAGACATTGATGTGCAATTAATTTAGCCTAATTGCATATAAATGTCTACCTATGCCATTAAAGAATCAGAGATAAGTCTGAACAGCTGATGGGAATCTGTATCAGAAATATATACAGCTGCTACGCGATGTAACATTTCATTTCATTTTTAAACACAATGTATAAAAGGTCTACTCCGTGTCTTGTTGAGGTCAGCAGCAAAATACTTCCGTTGATCTGATCAAAATTAAAATCCAGATGGTCCATCATTATGGGACCAGGAGAGGGGGGGGAATCTAAATGTAATCAAATTGTCTAAAATTTCATTTAACTGTATAAAGTGATAAAAACTAATATTAATTAAATCATCCCACTAAGTGCTCTTTATTTTGATGGACAAGATCATTTATGTCTGCCTTCCTCAACCTGTCATTCTTTCTCATGTGCTGCCAAGTGCAATTTTTAGGCAATCCCTGCACATCTGGGTGGCACCAGGTTGGACAAGGTTGATTTAAGGCATTATTTTTCCAGCACCGGTTGCTGTACTTTGCATGAATCTGAATTAAAAAGTGCATATAGAATATGTTTTAGTGTCATCTAATAGTATATAATGATATTACTATAATTGCATATACAGTATATATTAGTATAAAGACACAGCTAATTGCTAGAGCATCACCATTCAATGCGAGAGACCAGAATTCAATTCCTGTGTGATACCTACTTACCTGTAGAAGTCAGTACATCGGACCTGGAAGCCATGGTTTACATTTGACCCTTCAGTCCTGCCACATTTTCTATTGAGGGGGAAATGGGAGGAGGGGATTGTACAGTGAGTGGGTGACATATAGTCAAAATAACCTTCTTTTCTCAGAGAGTCAAGGCCACCTTGCCCTGCAGCTGCATTGAGGTGACTGAGAGGCATCTCCAGTTTTGGATGGTGCCTGATTGGATCATGTGATGAACATAATCTGCAGGGAGTTGCAAAGCAATTATAAGAAAGATTATGTAATAAATTCAGAGTAAGCCATTCCTAAGCAACTTTATCATGTTTAGTTACAATGTCAGAACTGAACCTTAAGTAGCAGTTATTCAAACTAGAGTGCACAGAAGGTCTGCATGATCCCCAAACAGGAAAGAGAAAAATGTTAATTTTCCTTCCACCACTTTTAAAAAACGGCAGGAAATTATTCTAGTGGGTTACACTTAAGTAGTAATGTTTTCAACACTGGTGGGCAGAATAGTCCTGTTCCTGTTTGCACATTCATTTTCCCCCCAATTACTCACCAAGAATCTTCCCTCTCTTCCTCGATCTCTTTCTCTCCAGGTGGCCAATCTCCTACGGCTGTTCCAGATCCCTCAGATCAGTTATGCTTCCACCAGTGCCAAACTGAGTGACAAGTCTCGCTATGATTACTTTGCCCGCACTGTCCCACCAGACTTCTACCAGGCCAAAGCTATGTCTGAGATCCTGCGGTTCTTCAACTGGACCTACGTCTCCACTGTGGCCTCCGAAGGAGACTATGGAGAAACAGGCATTGAAGCGTTTGAACAACAAGCTCGGGCCCGCAACATCTGCATTGCCACTTCTGAGAAAGTGGGACGCTCTATGAACAAGAAGACTTTTGATGGGGTCATCAAGGCACTGATGCAAAAACCCAGTGCAAGAGTGGTCGTGCTATTCACCCGAAGTGAAGATGCTCGGGAGCTGCTAGCAGCTGCTCAAAGGATTAATGTGTCCTTCACCTGGGTGGCCAGTGATGGTTGGGGAGCTCTAGAGAGTGTAGTGGGTGGCAGTGAGTCAATTGCTGATGGTGCTATCACTATTGAACTGGCATCCTACCCGATACAGGAATTTGCTGTGTACTTCCAAAATCTCAACCTCCACAACAACAGCCGAAATCCATGGTTCCAGGAGTTCTGGGAACATAAGTTCCAGTGTAGTTTCCACAGCAAGAACTGCAGTCACTTCTCCCTGAAGTCAGGGCAGTTTGAGCAGGAATCCAAGATCATGTTTGTGGTCAATGCAGTCTACGCAATGGCCCATGCCCTTCATAACATGCACCAAGCGCTCTGCCCCAATGCCACCAAGCTCTGTGATTCCATGAAGCCAGTGAATGGTAAGAGGTTCTACAAGGATTTCATGCTCAACGTAACTTTTGATGGTAAGCCAAAGTAATGGTTTCATATAGACTGTTGTGGGGAGGAATAAAGGACAGGAAGAACAAGCAGACAATGATCAGGGCATGGAGAACAGAACCGGAGTCTCTGATTAAGATGAAGAGTACAATCTCAGAGCAGATTATGGCAAAAATATCCCAGTTTTCTATGTGAGCATAAACTGCCTGACGTTGTGGTTACCAGAAATATTCCTGTGTGGATTGCTCTAACATTATTAATTGGAGGGAGGGATATCCCTCATTGATTGAATGTTGCCAACAAGTGAAAAAGTCTCACACTTGTTCTCTTGGGCATGACAGCTGCTAATTTAGCATGCTTGTACAAATGGAACAAAACTAGCTTTCTCAGGCCATGAGATTTGACTGCCTAGAATTTGAGTTTCTATAGGTTCTACTTATATCTTACAATGAAAGCAAGATAGTTACACACATTAAACTCCATCTAAGAGAGATTTGCAGTATTGTAAGAGCCTTGGTGGTGCAGTGGTTGGAATGCAGTACTTCAGGCTACTTCTGCTGATTGCCAGCTGCCTGCAATTTGGCAGTTCAAATCTCACCAGGCTCAAGGTTGTCTCAGCCTTCCATCCTTCCGAGGTGGGTAAAATGAGGANAAATTCCCCAGAATTTACTTCTGAATGATCATGCACACCATTAGCTATTAAGCTGTCCTAAATGGAGCCAGGAATAGGTGTACATTGACTTCAGATCTTATGATGACTTGCAATGATTAGCCTCTATCTTAGATACAGTAGGAGTCTTTCCTAACAATGCTTGAAGAAGCCTACTTCTGGTAGCAACCAAGTCCTCTTACTTTCCAAAATGCTGCTATTTTAGCCACAGTATCATTTCTGTTGTCAGCTCTATTTATATTCTGCTTCTACTGGAATGAATGAAATCAAGGCAGTAGGGGACAATCACAGCTGATATGAGAGGCAAATTGTTCCAATAGATGAGTATTTTCCATTTACATGTTCTAGGAAAACACCAATTACCTTCTTAGTTGCACTTATGCCTATTTGCCTTCTGCAGTTAAGATTAGTAAGCTTTCAGCTAAGGTTATTGGAAGGCTCTCCAACAGTAAAGCAATGGCAGTGATTTGATTTGATTTAGCCCATCCAAGTCTAATTTTAAAAATTATTCCTGAGCTAGAAATTTGGGTATCTGCTAACAGTCTTTTTGGCTGTTTTTCCCCATTCTAGGGAGTCGTGTTTTTTCTGAGACACAGTCTGCTTCTTCCCACATCATTTGAGATAACAGAAGGATAAGAAGCATTGTACTGTGTTCCTCTGAGGCAGTGTTTTATATTAGGATGACTTTGGAAGAATTAGAGCATGCCATTAATCTATGAAACTTTGCAGCATAACAATTTGGAGAATGCCTTCAGACCACCAGAGAAATAATGTTGGTGAGAAACATGACTTGAGAGCAAACGATTTCATCCCCTAAACATTAAGGCTTTAGATCTCATGCTGAACAACTTGTTTCGAACAAGCTTTATTGCATTCTGGCTGACAGGTTGAGCTGGAAGAAACCAGAGAATTTTTTTTTCATCTTTTATTTGTCTTGTTTATATTACTTTCCATTTCCATCAAACAGCGTGTGATCTGGNATTCCAGCTCTATTCTGATTGCTTGCTTGCTTTATTGATTGATTGATTGATGGAATTCATTGTCTGATGATAACATGATTGGTCTGAGGCCTGGTGGGGCCCAAGTGGCTGGGTCAGGATGGTTGATATATAGTGCCTGGGAACACTGGAGTAGTGGTGTATTTTTTTCTAGGACCTCTTTTGCTAACTTGAAGGCAATTGGTGATCCTGACTCCAGGACTACCTGTACCAATGTTCCTGGAAACCACTCCTTTGGCTCCAACCCCACTCCTTTTTGGGCTCTAGAATTTCTGCCTGGGACTCTGCTCTGAATTATAGGGGGTGATATCATCTCAGTCCCCCTAATCATTCAAAGTTCTGAAGTTCCCAACTTATGGCTTGTGAGAGTTTTGTGGGGTGTTGGGTACATTATTTTCTCTGCAGGGCTTGAGGCCCTCAAGTGCTTGTGTGATTGTAGCCAGGGGACACTCAGGGCATTGGTTTGTGAATGTATAATATGGGTGGGAGAGATTGGTGAATGTGTCTTTGATCTAGGAGAAAGGAATGAGGAGGGGGTTGTTTGAAGAAGGCAAGAAGGAACATCGGGATGATGATGGACAGAGGTAAGTGTGATAAAAACCCAGGGTGCACCATGTCAAATAATGTTGGATCTAGTGCTTGGAAGCTGTCCTACTGTTTTGGCCCTCAATTTCCACTCTCAATGCATGTCTATCAGGGCCTCAGTGACCTTGGGCTCCAGCTATGCTTTTGAGGTTGGTTTGTCTGTCCTCATTCATGACCTCATCATGGATAAGGGCACCAAGCCCACATGTTTGAAACCTGGCTGGGCCCAGAGATTTTCGGGCTTTACATCTACTGAGAATTACTGGGAGGATTGGATAGGGTAGCTATTGTCATCCATGAGACTTTGAAGGCCCTTAAAGGCTTTGCTGTCCCGGTAATCCCAATCAATTAGATATGAGGCACAGCAAAAAGTTGACTTTAAGGGAACAGTTGGGATGGCTGCAGGTGTATTGCCATCCCTGCTGCTGCTCATTATCATCCCTACCGGAGCTCTGGATTTCATTGCTGGGCTGGCAATAGAGTCCCCAAGGCTGTTAATGGTTGGGAAATTCAATTTGCTGCTTGATGGCTCTGAGTCCAAGACAGCTCAGGAATTTATGGCTTCCATGGTAACCATGGACCTGTCCCAAGTAAAGGATGGACTGATATTAGTGGCTGCACATTAGATCTGCATACATCACATTATCTCAAGGCAGTGATAAGATCAGGTAGTGGAAGACATAACATCAGTTAATGCAGTTAATGTTAACTGACAAATCATATTTAATGTGTAGTTCGCAACATAACAACAGCCACTTGGAGGGAAGTAAGCAAGGTTCTGTTTTAGGCCCAGTACACTCCAATATCTTCGTAAACAATCTATGAGGGAATAGAAGGGGAAGTCATTAAATTTCAAATGACAATAAGCTGGCAGGAATAACCAACACTCCAGAAGACAAGCTCCAGATCCAAAAAGATAGATTGGACTCAATCTAGCAAAATGAGATTCAATGTAGATTAAAAAATAAGGTTTTATACTTAAACAAGAAAAACCAACCATATAGGTACAAATTAAGTGAAACTTGGCTTAATGCCANGGCAATATGCTGACTCTGTAAACCGCTTAGAGAGGGCTGAAAGCCCTATGAAGCGGTATATAAGTCTAACTGCTATTGCTATTGCTATTGCTCCCCAGCCTCCTCATTTTCTGAGTCTGCCGCCAGCTCTGCTGGTCGCTGGCAGGCCACGACGTTTATACTTGCCTGATAAGGGTCACCCAGAAAGTGCATTCCCTACAAACTTCTCTTTGCCATCTCCGGCCACCCCTTCTTCAGAGCAGCCTTTATGTTTGGCAAGTACAGAATCAACAGATATTGTATCCTACTGCTGTGGCTTATTCACAAGGAGTCTGGTGTTTTCTGTTCACCACAGTAATATTTGTTGTCAATGGCTCCGAATCAATTACAATCTCTAGAGAGACCCCAAAGACCATACTAACTCAGTAGAAGAATCTGGGCAAAATCGTCTGAGAATGATCTAAATATCTCAGGTTGCCACTTGAGCTTTCCTTTTGATGTGAAAGACTATTTGACTTGGGTTCAAGTCAAATAACCTAATTTGATATACCATAAAATAATTCCTATATTCTTGGAAATGTAAAGTTTCTTTTATTTAGCCAGTGCAGGGATGCCCTATTACTTTTTTTTTACATCACTTTTTAAGAGAAATATTCTGAGAAACGTTCAGTGATAAAGCATTGCATTAGATCTGAGTCCATCAATGTCAGAAACTATATGGGAGTTGTAAGCTAGTTGTCTCTTAATTATTGGGGGGGGGGAGACTTCCCTCCCCCAAGTCTAGTTAAAAAGATTCTAGATAACTTATAAAAATTTAAATCAATATTTAAAACATGGCACGACAGAAATATTAGAACAGAAGTTAACAGTTCAAAACATAATAATCAATAAGACAACAGTGAGCAAACATCCTAGGCAAATAAACTTCTCGTTAGTGCCCAAAATTAATCAGATTTGTGCCAGATGAGTCATTTGGGGGAAAGATTCAAAAACATGAGGTAAAAATAAGGCTTCTATATCTGGGCTGCAAAATATAACTGTTAGATAATGGCAAAGAGAAATGGAAAATTTGAGCATCCGGGGATCATCCAGATTTGTGCAGCCTAAGTGCAATAATGAAGAAAGAAAACTAGCCATTCCATTTCTTTAGGACTACAAATGGCTCCCTAGAGTAAGCCAGACTGGTGTTGATTACTGTGGCTTTAATAATTCTTGTGACATTGATTACAAGATATGGAATGAATATATCTACTTTTGAAATTTTTTCTTGATGTGGAGATATAGCAATAGCACTTAGACTTATATACCACTTCACATTGCTTTACATTAAGCATTTACAGAGTCAGAATATTGCCCCCAACAATCTGGATCCTCATTTAGCAACCTCAGAAGGATGGAAGGATGAGTCAACTTTGAGCCAATGAGAATTGAATTGCTGGCAGTTGGCAGAATTAGCCTGCAATACTCAGTGGCGGGTTCCTAACGGTTTGGACCGGTTCAGCCGAACTGGTAATGCTTTGGTGACCTAAGTTGCTCGAACCGGCAGCGACCCAGGCCTGCCATGCCCCCAAACTGGTTCTTCACGCCCCCGAAGCAGCTGCCATATTGATTTTTTTTGATTGATGAAAGAGCTGAGGTGGCGCAGTGGTTAGGGTGCAGTACTGCAGGCCACTTCAGCTGACTGNTACACACATTAAACTCCATCTAAGAGAGATTTGCAGTATTGTAAGAGCCTTGGTGGTGCAGTGGTTGGAATGCAGTACTTCAGGCTACTTCTGCTGATTGCCAGCTGCCTGCAATTTGGCAGTTCAAATCTCACCAGGCTCAAGGTTGTCTCAGCCTTCCATCCTTCCGAGGTGGGTAAAATGAGGATCCAGATTGTTGAGGGAAATATGCTGACTCTGTAAACTGCTTAGAGAAGGCTGTAAAAAGCACTGTGAAGTGGTATCTAAGTCTAAGTGCTATAGTTATTGCTGTTGTGGTCAAGCCAAAAGGCTCCCCATCTATATCCAGCTAAGTTCACACTTGCATACATTTGATTTTTCTTTCCTGTGTCTTCATCTTTGAGTGTCACGGCACTGGAATAATAAAGCAATACAAACCCCTGAGTTTTGAGGTTAGAACAAGTTATAGTAATATAGCACACAGCATGACTGTGCAAAGCTTTCAGAAGGGATGCTTCACAAAAACATCAGTGTGATGGAAGTGTCCCTTCTCAAAATATGTAAACCAAAGTTTTCCAAATGTGGCAACTTTAAGATGTGTGGACTTCAACTCCTAGAATGCTGGCTGGGGAATTCTGAAAGTTGAAGTCCACACATCTTAAAGTTGCCATATTTGAAAAGCACTCATTTCAGCAGCCATGTCTTCTAGCTCCAGCGGCTGTTTTAAAGGTTGTTTCTTCCATGTGTGAGGGGAACATGCAAAACTGCTTCACTGACAATCCAACAGAAATGTTGTCTAGATATAAAATTACCAACAATTGCATATGGAGCAGCAAGCCTTCCAGAGGATGTAGCTGCTTGACTGTTTCAAGTAGGGAAGCGTTGTTTGTACTAACACACTTTTTAAAATGCCACTTCCAAATGCTTTGCATAGTTCTAATGCACAGCTTTTTGGAAACATTAAAATACTGTTTATTATGTTCTGCAGTGATTCCAAAGATAGCCTTCCCAATCCTTAAGCCCTTCAGATATTTTGGACTTCAGCTCCATGTCTAATTCTGTTTTTTAAGATTTCTGCACAGATTATATTGCTATCAACTTTGTTGAGAATATGCAAGTAAATTATGTACATTGGGGGTGATAAGCATCTCTCTGTGATGAAGTAGTTTATATTCATACAAAAATGATGAGAAATAGAACTTTTTTCAATAGCAAAATGACAATAGTATAACAGAACCGATTTGTGGGGAAAGTTTCCATGTGGACAGCTCAATTTTGTAATCACCTTATTTTTTTCTCATTTGAATCCAATTTTCCAATTCCACTTCACAGCTCCATTTCGACCACCACTAGACACCAAAAGTATGGTTCGATTTGACCATTGTGGAGATGGAATTGGTCGTTACAATATTTTCAACTACCAGAGAGTCAATGGGAGATATCGCTATCAGAAGGTAGGCTACTGGGCCGAAGGACTCCTTCTGAACACCAGCCTCATTCCATGGGTGAAGACCTCCATTCCTGTCTCCCAGTGCAGTGACCCCTGCAAGAAGAATGAAATGAAGAGCATGCAACCAGGAGACATGTGCTGTTGGATATGTATCCCATGCCAGCCATACGAATTTCTGCTGGATGAATTTACTTGCAGAGATTGTGGCCTTGGTTATTGGCCCAATATGACTTTAAATGGATGCTATGAGCTACCCCAAGAGTATATTCACTGGAAGGATATCTGGGCTATTGGGCCAGTCACAATTTCTTGCCTTGGTTTCATGTCCACTCTGTTTGTTTTGGCGTTTTTTGTTAGGAATAATGACACTCCCATTGTGAAAGCATCAGGCCGAGAACTATGCTACATCCTGCTGACTGGAGTGTTGATGTGCTACAGCATGACATTTATCTTCATTGCCAAGCCTTCCACTGTGGTCTGTACTCTGCGGCGCCTAGGGTTGGGCACCTCCTTTGCGGTCTGCTACTCTGCCCTCTTGACCAAGACCAACCGTATTGCACGGATTTTCAGTGGAGTCAAAGAAGGCGTGCAGCGTCCACGGTTCATAAGCCCCACCTCCCAAGTGGTCATCTGCCTGGCTCTTATTTCATGCCAGCTCGTTATTGTCATTATCTGGCTCATGGTGGAGATTCCAGGCACACGAAAGGAGACTGAGCCTGACAAAAGGTATATTGTCATCCTCAAATGCAACAACCGAGACTCCAGCATGCTAATTTCACTCACCTACAATGTCCTCTTGATCGTGTTGTGTACAGTCTATGCTTTCAAGACCAGGAAATGTCCAGAAAACTTCAACGAGGCCAAGTTCATTGGATTCACCATGTATACCACATGCATCATTTGGCTAGCCTTCCTGCCCATCTTCTATGTTACCTCCAGCGATTACCGCGTAAGTTACTTCTTGCTGGGAATAAGACAAAAAAGTATCTTTAGCATACAGTAGGCAGCTTCAGAGAATCTTTCCCAACCTGGTTCCCTCCAGTCCAGATGTCCCGGGCAGGGATACGATTCAGCTGGTGGTTCGGACTGGTTCAAGCGAACTGGATGTTAATTTTACATCTGGTTTGCCAAACCGGTAGTTCCAAGGGCTGGTTGGCCCCACCTACCCTGTTCCGACCCTCCCAGGAATCTCCACAGGGACCATTTTGAATGCCAGGCAGTGCAGGGCCTGCCCAGAGGCTTTGGGAGAGCAAAAAATAGGCCTTCCAGAAGTTCTGGCAGTCAGGAGGGCCTCTGGAGCCCAGTGAAGGCCANCACAAATTTATTTTTTCTTTTTTTAATGTTTTGCGCATACACAGACCTATTTTTGTGCAAATGCTCACGCACATGTAGCAAATTTTTTGCGTACACTGATCCGGCAGTAATACCGGGAGCAACCCACCCCTGGCAATACTGCATTCTAAACACTGTGCCACTATGGCCTCATATAAAGTATAATATCTAGAAGATTGGGACATGATTGTGAGTGTAATACATTAGTTCTGAGCGAGCTAGGAAACAGTAGTGTGCATTATGTACACTATGTACCTAATGTACATTATGTTAAGTCATGTTATGTTCAAATCAGGCTACCATATTTATTCAACAAATTATATTAATAAAAAACATGCCTTAATACAAATTAATTGGGCCATTCCAATTTATTAAGTATAATAAACAATTATGATAAAAATAAAAAATAAATTAAATAATCAAACGATCATTCAAAAGCCAGGGTTAAAAAGTTTTGCAACTGTATGTAGCGAAAACAGGCCAAAATCAACATTTTCTCAGTCTGTAGATGATTAGTAGCTTGATAACAAGTATATCAATTTAACAAACAAACAAACAAACAAATTTGTTTTGTGGCTGTTACAATTGAAGTAGAGTCCTATTTTTTTCCCTATTTTTTAAAGTTGTATCTGGAAATGGGCCCATTGAAAAAGATGAGACCCTGATTAATCTGGACCTTCACTGCAGAGAAATATCCAGTTGCTTCCGATCTGCTTCTCAAGTATTTTCAGAATATAAATTATCCTTTTCTGATATTCAAGGTTCAGTGAAGTCAGCATAACTTAGTTGCTCAAATATAGAACCTACAGTAGCATAGGTACTAATTTACTAATTTTACTTGCTGGGCTGTGGCCTTAACTTTGCTTGTTAATTAAAGGCGCCATTAGAGAAAATAATGCATGTTATAATTTACTCCCCACTTCTTCAAGCAATAAGGGTGACTTTTGGAAATCTGGGATAGGATAGATAATTAGGGAAGGACAGCAATCTTAAAATACACAAATGTCCAAATAAGTGGAACAACTGCATATACGATACTAAAAATTCACTATTTGATTTCTGATTTCAAGGGAGAAGCACCCTGAAAGCAAGAGACTTCTATCTTTGAACTCCCAGTTTTTTGTGTGTTTGTGCCTCCCCATCACCCTCTCTCTTTTAATATAATTTTAACTGAAGATTATTGTATAAAATAATCCTTTGTATAATTATTGTATAAAAGCAAATACAAACGAAACTCAGAAAGAAAAAGAGAGAGAAAGTATAAAAGTGCAAGGAAAAAAAGAAAAGATATAGAAAAATATTGAAGAAAGTAACTTCCAATGTTCAGACAATAAATACAAATTAATTTAGTAAATCTTCATCCCTATAAGGCTACAAACAATACAATACAATACAATAGCAGAGTTGGAAGGGACCTTGGAGATCTTCTAGTCCAACCCCCTGCCTAGGCAGGAAACCCTATACCATTTCAAACAGATGGCTATCCAACATCTTCTTAAAGACTTGCAGTGTTGGGGCATTCACAACTTCTGGAGGCAAGCTCTGATTAATTGTTCTAACTATCAGGAAATTTCTCCTCAGTTCCTTTTGGTACATGATCTAATGCCTCAGGAGAGCATCAAGCTAGGAAACATTACCCTACTTTTAAGTTGAAAAGACTTATTTTAAAACTGATACTTTAACATTATCGTCTTTAAAAATCTGTGAACATGTTTGAGTTAGTTTTTAACCACATTTG